TCTACCCGAAGACAACTCCTGCAGGACCTAAAGAAAACAATAATCCTACATGTGTACTATTCCACAGTATGTCCATTATGGATATGCTAGATCGGGGTTTGTGATTCACCATACTCCACAATATACCCCAACCTCACAGTAGCTGCCATTAATTAGCAATTTATACAAAGCCACTTCTGAATGTTGTTGAAAAACAATCATTTAAAGTAAGACTTTTAGATTTGCAATATGTTCATTAGCCAATTTACCCACATTAGACATTGATTTCCTTACCCTAAGATGTATAAGTAAGGATCACAACTGAAACCTTTACCCTGTACAGAACAGCTTCCATGAGGGTGAGAGCCACAGATATGATCAGCTGCATCCTCTTGTGATAAGCAGCAAAATAGCCAGGATCTTACTTGACTGAAAATTGCTACAGAAATAGTCCCATGTTCTATTATGTGACACTCGCACTTCCAGTTGAAGGCAAGTCAGACTGCACCTCTGTGGACGGCATCCCAATTCAGATGCAAGGCAAATTTCATCCCTGGTGTTTAGTGACTATACATAGTTCCAGTAAACAGTAGAAGAAACAGTTCCCACTCACATATCTGCAGCTTCTAATGCTGTCCGTCCAGAGAAGGAACAACCCACTATGATGGTGCAATCTCTGATATGTTCCACAAATAGACCTAAGGAGCAGAACAGCCATGAAAAATGCCAATTCCACTTTCACCCACAAACACCAGCAGAGCTCATTTTATCATAGTTCCATAAGAAATCAACAGCAATTGAAAAGTATATATAAGAGAAGAATTGTCTCTAGCTTCTCTTGGTCAGGAGGCATAAACTCAGATTCTTTCCAAAGGCGCCTCTTTTTTTTGACATATTAGCAGTGATATGACAATTAAGTAGTGCATGAGTACACTTCATCCCATGTGATTATGAGGGGGATTCTAAAAGAGAAAAAAAAAAGAAAAACAGAAGAGGAATTAAAGTGACTCTACTAGTCTGTAGCCAACATTCTCAGGACTAAGGAAATGGAAGTAGAAAAATGGGTAAGAAATGAGGTAAGGCCTAAGAGACTCTGAAAAGCCCTCTAAGAAACAAAGGTCTTCCTCTGGCAACTGAATAGCTAACACTGGTGATTCCCAACTCTAATTTAATCATTTTCCTATATCCTTTTAAAAGGCCTAGTGTCCAAAACACACTCATCCTGTAAGTCCCAAGCATCTAAGACAGAACAGCTCATCACTGTCACTCAATAATTCTGGTTCTGCTGCCTTCTCATCTTGAAACAGCTTTTAAAAACACTGACTGCAGCTGAAAAAGAAAACCACAACTCGAATCATCACTGTTTACAGTAGAACTGCACCAGCAGGACCAGCACAAACACTTAGGGAATAAAAGAGCAATGACTTCATTCCTGAAGCGTATTTGCGAGGGCAGAGCTGCAGCACAGTAAGCTCAGCCCAGAAGCATCACCGTAAGAGTCACTCTAGCATGTCCCTCTTCTCCTTACCAGTGCATGGATCACTGGTTACTCTGTCAGGCAAACAGGACAGGCAGAAAGCAAGCAGGTTGATCCAAATGCCATCATACCAACCCCTTGTGCACTGGTAGCATCAGTAGTGTGACAGGCTGGTCCCAAAGACCAACCTGAATCAGGTGTGCTCACACTGGATCTGCCAGGAAGGTTCAATTCAAGCAGCTTGGGATAAGAGCAGTAGTTTTCATTGGATGTTATTACAGCAGAGGGCTTTTTACTGGAAAACTAATTCAACACAATTCACTTCACTGTCACATTATCACACATTTCAAGCTTTGCAGCAGGCCCAGCTTTTTCCTGCATCTTTTGCTTGGTAACAAACATTTGCCAATCAAGCCTAGATATAAGCACATGCCAGACACAGGCAATCGTAAAAAAAGCACTCCTGAATACCATCACCACACCAACCTAGTTAGACACGAAACAGCACACAGTGTTCTCACACCTACTGGAAACTAAGTCTTTTACGCAGTAAAGTATTGAGGACTGAATTAATCTCAACAAAATATAATAAAAAAATAGATTCTGTTGCACAGATTAAAACATTTCCACTTGTCAAAACTTGCTTTAGAACTGTGACCATTTTGAATTCAGGGACAGTTTTCCCAATAAAATTAAAAAACACAAGTAATTTTTCCATTTGGAAAGAGATGCTGGGTAGAAGGAATGACCTTCGCTGTTGCCAGTGACTGCTATTGTATAATAATACTTCTTTCCATTCTGATGGTTTCAGATGCTTCCTGCCTACCCATTAAGTGATTTAACTGAGCTACCCACACAGTGTTACCTAGTGACTACACAGTTAAGACTTACTGGAGGCCAAAATCACCCACTGTATATTCTAGTTATATGCTTTATTTGTTCTCTGGCAAATGTGAAACTGAAGATGCATATTACAAGGATGTGAATTTAACTATTGGAGGAACTCCTCAGACTCAGGAGCTCAGGCAAGACAGAGATGCAGATCCTTCCTTCAATAATTTTGGAGTGAAAACTCACATATGGTCAGAGAAAGCCCTCGCCTGCACACAGAGCACCAAAAAAGATAGACCATACACTGACATCATTGATAGTAGGGCCACACAGAACTCGTCCAAAATCATACAATGAACCTGCAGCAGAAACTGGAACTTAAGTGAAATCAGTTGAAGTTGAAATGAAACACACTGCAAGCAGAAAGGGCTGAGGGGGAGTGCGGAGTGGGATGCCTACAGAACTGTGACCCTAAAGGGAGAGAGGGAGAAAAATAACCATGAGAGGTGAGAGGGAGGTCGGAGAGAGAGAGCATACAAGGCCAAGGGGGATAGAGAAGAAAAAAGTAGAAGGTTAAGTCAAGATGTCAAGTTCTCTTGTCAAAGAGTGCAGCTGACAAAGCCAGAGACATAGTTATAGACAGAAAAAAGTCCACACAAATTGCAGGTTCCCTTGTCAAGAAATGAAAGAGCTAACTGATGGAACAGTCCAGAAACCACTGTGGTCAAAAGTGCACAACACAACCAACTCTCCCATTCCTCATTCAATGTCTTTCATCTCGTAGCAATTCCACAGTGACAAGTCTCTGGTTACCTACTTTGTACATCTTTCCACTGGCAATTCTGCAGCAGACGGTAAGGACAGGCACGTATCTGCATATTAAGTAAAGAAAACAAATCAAGAAATTAAGCCATGCAGGCCTTTAAGCCCCTATTTTAAGGTATCAGTGAAATTTCCATTCTTGCACTCTCTGGGATTACTAGTGAGGTGGAGGAAGCGAGAGAAGAGGTTTACCATGGCTGTTCAGGCTCAAAATCCTAGATAGAGCTTTCCTGTAAATCTGGTACATCTCTCAGAGCTGTTTCTTGATGCTTCAGATACCAGCTCCCCCTCAGCAGAAATTAACTTCACCCTCCCTCTCAGCAGCATTATCACCTCCTCCAAACTGACTCCCCAAAACCAGAGAAGATATGAATATTCTCTAACCTTTTCCTGCAATGACTGTAGGTGGACTGCCTGCATCACATCTGAAAGACTCTACTTTCATAGTGCAGAGATTCTGGCTTACTGAGGAGGATCTGACATTTTTGATGTCACTGCTGTCTGTTAAAATTAAAGTAGGAGATAAAGAGCAGATATCCCCCCCACTCCCGCAGGGACATGTTAGGTCACTACCATCAGGACTATCATCTGCAGCTGTGTCTGGTAGGTTTTACAACCTACAATCTTGCAAATGTCCAAGCACTTCTGCACAGGGACTACTCCAAGTGCTTAAGATCTGGAGTTCACTAGGTGAGATCTGACTACTCAAATGAGTCAAGCATGGACCACGCCTAAAAGCCCTTTACAGGTACACCTGTCATTCAACAGTGATCAAACAGCAGATTTTCACCAGACTTGTGATCTTTCTTTCTGCGATAAGGCTACAGCATTGGAAGGGGCTGCAAGGCAGGGTTCATACAAGCAAAACAGATACAACATTTCTACCTTTGTGCATATTCCAGCTCACACTGATAAACCCAGTAGGCTCCATTTATAAAAGCAGCACATTTCCTCTACTCCTAAAGCAGATATGTTCTGCCAGACCTCCTTTGTGAATGGTTTAGTTTTGCTTTACAATAAGTAGTTACAGTGTCACAAAGCTGACATCAAAAGACATATTTTGTCTACTGAAGTCAGTGGAATCACATCCAAGACAAGTAGCATCCTTTAAAATTCCTGTGCAAAGTTGGGCTTGAACACACAAGCTACATACGCAGGCTGCATTACTCATGTATCACAGAAATCCAAAGCAATGCCCCCTTATTTTCCTATCAAACTTAAAAGGACTGGAAACTAATGCCAAAGAAAAAACTGTGAGACTTTTCCCTCACTTTTTTACTTCTTCATCTTCCAAAGATGGAAAACAACCATTTAGTTCAATCCTATATTGGCATCTTCTGAAATTATCGATGCTCTCATGTTCCTGAAGTATTATGTCTCTGGACTGCCACCAATCCATGCCTATTTTGGAATAATAATAATAAAAATAAAAAAAAACACTGCTGGAAAGAACCCCTTTAGGTTTAGCTTTAATAGTGCCATGCTGCTGTAAAGCTGTCCCAGAGCTGGCACCAAACACCAGGTGAACGTCACATACTGACCATTCGGTCACAGCAGTTAGGCCTTCATCTGCAACAGCAATGGGCTCTTTGTGCAACCTAGAAGAAAACCACTTCTGCATCAGCAAGTGGATTCTCATCTGTTCTGCTGGTTGTCACTGGCCATTCGTGCACACACAGAATATGCCACCTGTGCCTCTAGGCTGCACTGGGCACGGGGCATCAGGGTGCTGCTGCTGCTGCTGAGCATCCCCAAGCCCTGGTCCCAGCTCCAGCCAACCGACCTCCGCATTGCTCAGGCTCCGGAGGAAGCGCGAGTTACAGCACGTGAACGGGCAAAGCGCAGCCTTTGCCTTTCAGCAAGTCCCACCCAACAGCATACCTTTATTATTCTCCGAGCACGGCTGCTGCCTCCCGCTCTGCTCCTCCTCGGCAGGTGGCACCGAGCACCGGCCCCGCGAGGCCGGAGCTGGGAGAGACCGTTCCCAGACCAGCTCCGGCGGAGGGCGGGACGAGGCCGGGCAGCGGCGAGCGGGCGCCCGCGATGCTCCGGCAGTGCCGCGACCACGACACCGACCGACGCGAGCGCTCAAGGCAGAGCGGGCCGCGCTCGGAAACCACGACAAGGGACAAACAAACCCGCGCCTCGTTCACACGAGTTTGTGTTCAACGCTCCGCGGGGCCGGCGGGGGAGGACGCGGAGATGGGGCTGCCCCGGAGCCGCGGGTACGTAGGAGCGAACCGGAGCCTCACCCCCAGCCCGCCCCCGGGGCCCCGCGCTCCCCTCAGGGCCACCCCATCCCGCGCTCCCCTCAGGGCCACCCCATCCCGCGCTCCCCTCAGGGCCACCCCATCCCACCCCCGGGGCTCAACACTCACCTGGGCGCGGAGCTTTCGCCATTTCAGGGCTCCCTGCTTGCAGCCAAGCCGTTTTCAGCCGCGTCAGGTGCTCGCTCGCGGGGCGCTCCGGGCGCGCCCGCACTCCGCACTCCGCCGCCCCATCGGCTCTGCGGAGGCCCCGCGCCGCCCCCTCGCCTGCGGCGCTGAGAGACGCGGCCGAGAGACGCCGCCGCCGCCGCCCGCCGCTAAAGGCGCAGCCGCCGTCGCTAAAGGCGCAGCGAGCGGCTCGGCGGAGAGCGGGAGGACCGCGCCAGCGCGGGGATGTGGCTGCGCGTAAACGGCCCGCGGAGCGCGGGGTGCGACCAGCGCCCTGCCCCGGGGATCCTCGCGTGGGGGCTCCCCCTGCCCTCAGCCCCCACGACGCGCCCGCCGGGGAGGGGTCGGGGCTCCCCCGCCGTCTTAGGGCTCCTCGGAGCTGCGGGCGGGCAGAGGACGGAGCTGGACCCGCTCCCCCGTGCTGTCCGCACCGTGCCCGACTCCCCTCCCCAGCCGCGCCACGGTGCCGGCGCCGCACGGCTCGGCCGCTGCTGCGGCACTGCCCCGGCAAGCTGCTCCTGCAAGTGCTTGCTCTGGAATTTAATAGCAAATATCCTTCGGTTGTTGCCAAGCCCCATGTCAGTGCGGTGGTTGAACTGCAACGCGCCGCCTTTTAAGTCAGCCATAGGCAAGCGGCTTACAGCCTGCTGAGAGCTGGACTAGGAAACTTACAGGGCGAGACTCGATTCCTCCTTCTTCAAGAGCCCCCAGAAGTGGCATATCTCTAAAAGTAGAGAAGCCAGCTTCTCCAGATCCCCCAAGGATTGAAAGAAATTCATCTTAAGAAACGTCTTAAGTTGCAGCCCATCTTGTGGGAACGATGGGAAGAGGCTGGCAGAGAGCCTACAAAGGCTTGTATGTTACTAGTGTGTCAGAGCACCACCTAGTAAAGTGCAGTGAACAAAAGTTTGGCCCAAAGAAGCCCACAATTAAAGAGCCAAGCAAACATAATGCAACCAAGTCCTAAAGCAACTTACAGGCTCAGTGCCAATACCAACTTGGTAGGTATAAAGATAAATACATGATTCGCTCGGGGTGTTGCTAAGCGTTCATACAAGGAGCCAGAGCAAATACCCCTGAGAACACAGCGAGTTAAGTGGTTTTGTTTGAGCCTTAAGTGGAATAGCCACAATGCCCAAGAATTCCCACCCCCAAGCCAGCATACAAACTATGGCTCACTATGCTGGACAGTTTGTCCTCGAGCCACATTGCCTCTGCTGTTGGACTTGCCTGTTTAGAAGATTTGATAAGGATGGCTTTCCCAAATGTGCTACAGTGTCACTAAGCCACCAAAGAAAGCAATCCTAGAGAGAGACCATGGGTATATAGAATCATAAAATGTGCTGAGTTTGAAGACACTCATCAGGATCATCAAGTCCAACTCCTGGCCCAGCACAGGACACCCCAATAATCCCACCATGTGCCTGACAGCACTGTCCAAACACTCCTTGAACTCAGACAGGCTTGGTGCTGTGACCACTGCCCTGGGAAGCCTGTACCAGTGCTCGATCAGCCTCTGGGGGAAGAACATTTCCCTGATAACTAATCTAAATCTTCCCTGACACAGCTTTATGTCATTTCCTTGACTCTGGTGACAGTACTGGCTTAGGGGAGAATGTCTGAAAGGCAGAGATGTGTTTGGACAAGTGCAGTAAGTTCCCTGCTCTGTGCTGCTTCCAACTGCAACAGCTCAGTACAAGCAGCTTCTGTCTTGTACAGATGTGACCTGCCCACCATACTCAGAGGTTCTTCATTAAACCCTTTTCAATTTACATCACAAAGAGCAAGGACTGGACACTACAAGATACATCCCAACTACTGTATTGAGATAATATTCAGCCTAAATGGCTCTTCTGCACTGGACTAGAGGCAGTGACTGAAAAAAAAGACTTTCCATTGGCACAGCTGCCTGAGCAGGCAGTTACCTGCAGCCTCTGAAGGCAGTAAGCACCACAATGCCTCCCTTGAGAGGAAAAGGTTAATTTCCATTGTCTTGAATACTGAAAGCAGACAACTGCCAGTCCTTGACAACATATAGATCCAGAAATCTTTTCTTTCTCCTAAAGACTTGCAAAAGCTTCACAGATTCCAACAAAATCCTTTCAGTACACAAAGGAACAGCTTTTTTTCATGCATTACAGAGGACATGTAGAATTTCTTCAAGAGTCATCACCAAATAATAATGTAAGAAAAATATACTAAGCCAGGTAATGGCTTGAACTGGAATGCATTTAAAGATATTTATACATCAAAGAACCTACTGAGAAAATAATCTAATTCCAAACACATTTACTCTTAATTGAAAACACATGCTGTTTTACTGGTGACCCAAGTTCTCTTCCTTACAATGCAGCAGACAAACTCCTCTCAAGACAAAGCCTCTGTCAAAGGATGCTCCGCATCATTGCTAGCTTTTCTGGTGTTGCAAGATGCCCAATTACAGAAATCAAACCTTGTATAAAACACTCTGAAAAAGATCAACAAAATAGGTAGCCAGTGCCTTGAGGCAGTGCAGAGCCACCTGAGGATGGGAGCTCAGAGAAAAATGATACCAACTGACACTACTGCCCCCCTGAAAACATCTGCCCACCTAATGATCCAAACCTGCTCAAACTGGGCAAGGAGAGTTGCTCTAACTGCACAGGTCAGGGCCTAAGCACCAAAGCTGAAGGCTGCTTGTTTGGTTTATAGTTCCAGGACTGAATTCAAGGCTGGTTTCTATACTGTTATGCCTGCTGACACCAGGTTCAACCTGATTTAAGCAGCCTTCAGAGCGAAACCAGGAGATTGCTGAGGAAGGAAAATGGAAGATCTGTCCTCTAGAGCCAATATTGTTTGTCCAAAGTCAGAAGATAATTGCTTATTTCAAGAAAGGGTGATGCGAGTGCGGTTTCATCAGCAGATGTGGGACTCGAGGAAAGCAGTTGATGAGGGCTCAGTGACAGGCAGAACCTTTTAAGTTCAGTTTTTATGTCCTCCTTGAAGTCACCACAGAACTTGAAAGGCAGCCTTAAGGAGCAGACACCACATTGAGTCAGAGAAAACAGCAGGCAATGGAGCAGCTCCCAGCCAAGTGTTGCACGTCAGCCACCCACTAGAAATGGGTTGCACTACGGTGTTTTACTTGGACAGACTGAGAAATTCTCTGGCAGTAGATACACCTGCTTTGTGGCTGCTCATGCCAGTGAAACAGCCAAAGAAGCTATCCAGGATCCAAGAATAAACCTTGAGATGGCAACTCTTGGTAATGTAACTTCAAATAGTTTGCAAGACCTTTCTGCACTGTTTATACATCACCAAACTGCCAAAATAAAAAAGAAACAGGATATGTCACAGCCCGGCATTTCACAGAAGAGCAGCATTCTGCAAAAAATGGAAGGGAACAAAATCATAATCCACAGAGGCATAAGAGAGGACAGCAACAGATCAGCAACTGGTCCTAACAAAGACTTCCTGATACTCCCAGGTAACAGGGAATTGTCTGGCAGACAGGCACATTGCCTGGTGAGGAGGCTGTGATGTTGCCAGGTTGCTGTTAGCTCTAGTTAATCCCAGGTACCAGAAAGACTGCACTGATTGACACCAGGAATACTCAGCTTTGCAGCTGAAGCTGGATTCATGGCTGTAAAAAGCCCACAACAGACACAAGGAAACCATACAAATGCTTGGGCAAGGCAGAGTCTAACTGATGGCCCAGACAGCTGTCAATAGCTGCAGGAACAAGAGCTGAGAGAGGCTTAGTCCTCAACCCATCAGTCCCCTCATCTATCACTTCATTGTCTAGGAACTCAAAGATGCTCTTTCCTCCTGCCTCAAATCTCGTTAATAGCCAGAGCCTCTCCAATGAAAGGTCTGGCAGAGCAGGAGCAGACTGTGACTGATCAGTAACGTCAGGGCTGAGGCCTTCTGAAATTGCAGGCAAGGAGCAATGGTACTTGCTGGTTTAATTCCAGTGCTCTCCAGTGTTGGTAGCTACATGAGGAGGAAGGTACAGGGTATAAAAACAGATGGAAAGAAAGTTCATAAGAATTAAAATCACAGGATTTCAGAAGGATTTCATAAGTAATTAATTTATATCTAGTATTTGTTGCCACACTGCAGAACCACCAATTGAGACTGTTCCCCAATCTTATTTTGATAAAGGCAGCCTGGTTTTTCTAAAACATTGTTATAGTGACTTAATGCGTTGCTAGGAAGCGTTCTTCCCAGACCCTGACTGCTGGTCCATCACAGAGCAAAGTATTAGGAAAGATCAGCAGGAAGAAAGACTGGAATAAATGCAAGATTTGTTGATGAGTATCAGCTTTAGACAGCAGGCTATTTTTAGTCATGTTTCCTTACTGAAATGCTGAGGGGAGAGGGAGAAACAGTGACACCAGGATTTTTAGAAGCATCTGTGGAGCTTTCCTCTTCAGTGCAGCAGCTGTTTGCACAGACATACCCAGCCTCAATTTCCATGGGCTTCCTCAGGCGCAAAAGGATCTCAGCCAGGGCAGTGCTCGCCCTGCGTCCAGGAGCGACACTGCAAAGCGGCCTAACCTGCCGTGGGCAGCAGAGCTCAGGACACCCAGCCAGGCTTGGGGATGGCTCCCTGCATGATGGACCTGCTGCTCAATCCAGTCATACCAGGAGCCAGGTAAGGCAAAGGAACACAAGAAGAACCCTGGCTGTGCAGCCCCCCATGCATATGCTCCACTCCAAAAATCACCTCTGTGTAAGCCAGGGAAATGCCACCACTGTAACACAGAACAAGTCAGTGATCCACAAGTGGGAACACTCAGAAGAGGCCAGTGCATTCAAAAAATGCTGATGTTAAATGTCACTCTGCTTCCCCTGTCTCAGACTAATAACTTAAGAGAATATTTTTCTCAGTAGCACCCATGGCCCTCATCCACCAGTACCATGCAAGAGAAGGGTGTAGAACCATCTGTGTAATGCATAGGGAGAAAATATGAGAGAGACAAAAATGTGCCATCAACAGTTTTGTTAGCAAGCAGAAAAGCAAAGTCCTAGACCTTAAGAGCATATATTTTAGCACCAGCACTGCCTTCTACCCAGACCCAAGGTTAAGGAGGGCTGTTGGAGGAGCAAAGTGTGATGTTTCATAAAGGAAACAAATGTGGTACTTCATGACTTTTTTTTTGATGGGCTGCATCACTCTCTGGGCAGCCTTCTTATGCAGTTGGTTCTGCATTGGACAAATTTCAGGACACTGGAAGAGCTAGTTCCAGGAGCTGTCTGTATGGAACAGCCCAGCTTGATCTCCCCTGAGCATCTCAGTCTGGGTCCATTTGAACAATGCTATTTATGTTTCACCAATACTGTGGACGTTTTGTTCTGTGCCAGCTCAAAAAGGGACAGAAATCGCTACAGAAAGTTTAAAAAAAGAGGAAGAAGACAGGAAAAGAGAGAGTCAGTAGGTGCATTTTAAGAGGTTTATTAATAACTGACACCAATGGTGCCACCTCCTGTGGATATAATCATTGTTAAGTATGTGCTCCTGAGGTGGTTAGAAATCCGCACAGAAGTCTTGACCACAGAAGCAACCACTTTGTTCTTTCTCCCCTTTTAAAGTTTACTTGCTCTCTGTCTCCTTCCAGCTCACCCAGTTCTTTTTGACTGTTCATTCCCTCAGCCTAAATATTCAGACTGGCTGCAGAAGCAGAAGAGAGAAGCCAGAGGGAAGGGGCTGGAGTGGGAGGAAGGCAGCAGCAGCTGCCTTACCTTTAGTTTAATTGGTGCTACTTAGTTCCATATTCAGAACAAGCTTCTTTTCCCAATTGAAAGACAACAGACAATTATAGAGAATATAACCTTTCATTTGAATTTCAGCCACATTTACAAATGTCAGAGACAAATGAAAGTTCCAGTGAAAAAACCTGGACAGGGAACTAGCTTTCATTCAGCTGCCTGCACTGCTGTAGCTGCAGAATTCACAATAGGAAGAGTAAGTTTTTTGCAGATTGCCCCAAACTGAAGGCCAAATCCTGACAATATCTGAGCACTAAACTCCACCTGAAACTGCAGGAGCTCGTCCCTACCAAGAATTCACTGGAACAACTAAAGACCAAATCTTCAGACATGAACCTCCATAACATTGCTGTTCTCGTGTTTGACTCACAGAAGGAAAGGAATATCCAATTATAAAAAAATCAGTGCAGTAAATAAACTTGGATTCATAAGAGAGAGGTTAAGGCCTATAGAAATTTTGGATCGTTTAACTTCTACCAGGGAGACACAAGTAAGATATTTCAACCTTTTGTTCTGCTCATTTGAAGGCAGAGCAAAACTTTCCTGAAGACAACAGGTGTAGTACCAGGAAAACAATTGCTATTTAATTTAAAAAAAATCAGGATTTTCTGCCCATGACTTAATCAACACTGAACTGTTCTCTTATTCTGCATTTGATTTGATCAAGATAACTTCTCTGACTACCACTTGCTCAGAGATAAGTGCTAATCAGGTATCGCTTAGATAACTAAGTGATACCTGATTAGCACCGCTTTCATTTCAACTCCAAAGCCATTTTCAGTAGCTTGAAGTAAATCTTTTCTATCAATATAAGCTGTGATTTAGTGAACAATATGAAAAATAAATCAGCCTAACAGACTAAGGACATGTTACCAGAAATAACTAGTTTTCCTTTCAGCTGTCAGCAGGCAGGACAGACTAAAGAGACACTGGTCTTCCTTGTCAAGCTCACTACAATTTCCATTCCTCTCCCTTTTTCATTGCACTTTGTGGTAAAGAAGGGCCGTTGACTGGTAGAATGGGGAATCTACTCACAACCGTTTCACTCATAAAATGATGTAAGTTACAGCCTTACCTTGCCTCAAAGCCCATTAAATCTTGTTTCCTTACCCCTGACACGAGCACAGAGGACACCAAAACCTTTCCAAAAAGAGTCAACAACAAAGGTATTCTAATCCGTTAACACAGATCAGAGTAAGTCTCGCCACAGAAATTATACAACACTTGCCATTCCTCCCTCTTTCAGGTCTTGTCTAAATCTTCCACAAGCAATAAGCCCAATTTACATTACCCAATGACCAGGCTGAGATAAGCCAAAGGGCTCGGCAGGTTGGAACAGTCTCCAGCTTTCAGCCTTCTACAACAGGGTGCTGTTAGACACCAGTCCAGCCCTTTCTGATCATGGCTGCATGCATTCCCAAGCATGTAATCTGGCTCAAGGTCAGGTTTATGTAATGGGGTTCCGAAAACAACAGTGAAACAGATCCCTGAGGGAACTAGATCAAGACACCAGTGACATTCAGTCCCTACTGATCTTAGTCGGTGTCCAAAGGACTAGCAAGCAGCTCCAAAAATTGCCACAGTCAGCCAGGTTCTGACTCCACAGAGCGTTCAGACATCAAACTGAATGTGTAGTGTTTAATGCATAAGGTAAGGTTACAATTCTCATTATAAACAAAGCATGATTAAAACTCCCAACTGTATTATATCTAAGTCCTAAGAAAAAATTCCTCCCTATATTAAAGAGCTAACTGAGCACGACTGAGATACCCAGATGTAATTCAGTCTCACTTATTTCCATCCCTTTCTCCCCCAGTTCTCACGCTAATCCAATGGCCTGGTGCACCATGTGTTCCCCACAGGAAGTCTTTCTGCAGTAACCTCCAGAGAACTGGCCTGCTTCAGAAAGCTGAGCTCAGAGCAGGGAACCAGGCTCACACCTCCAGCTGGTACTCAGGCAGCTTTCCCAGCTCCAGAAGGAAACTCCCAGTATTCCAGCATCGCCTTCTGCAGAGCAGGGTGGTAACTGCAAGCACCCAGCCCAAGCTGCAGCATTTTCACCCTGGCTACCTTCTCATCCAGGCTAAGACCAGTAACACCAGAGTCACTGCAGCTGGGGCCAGTTTAAGCCACCTGGCTCATTTGCTCCCACACAGAATGCAGGCTCTTGCCTCCTTCTCGTGGCCACTGTGAGATTGCTTTGTCTTGGCCCCTTGAGCCACCAGACACAGCTCCCTCTTGCCTGCAGCACCTACCCCAGGCTGTCAGTGTGACCCCAGCTTCTGTGTGTGCCTCTGGCACAGCCAGACTGAAAATACAAATCTCCACTGAGGGAAAACGGGGTCAAAGGAAAGCACCAACTACAACCTTGATGCTGTGGGACCATATTCTATAGTTTTTTAAAAGCTGGAATCTGTAACTAGATTTACATGCATATAATGTGGTACAGAAAGAGCTTGATTGAAGGAAAACTCAGGCAGCTCATGAATTAGCTCTGAATTCAGCCTACATAATTGATTTAAAAGTTATGCATATCCAAAAGTATCTTGGCAAATTAGGGGACCATTTGAAAGAACGTTTAAAACCAAAAAGTAAATATATTAAAAATCAGTCTTTGAAAAATACTCCTCAGCAGCAAAGACTGAGTTTATTCAGTGAAATAGAGATCCCTTCCTACAGCAAAAAGAATAAAGAAAACAATCGGTAAAGAAACAGCACAGTCTCCAAGAAAATGTATTCTTCAGTATCAATAACATGAAAATACTTTTTAAAGCTGAAACTGTTTCTCGTACTCCCCCATGACTTAGCTTTAAAGCAGTATGGACATGACAGGGGCTTTAAGTAAGTGCAAAGCCAGGTAACCTGACTCATGAGATGCACAGTTAACAACTGCAGTGGAATTGCACATTGCAACTCCATATAGAGTCTCTATTAACATATTGTGACAAGAGTTATGCACATACATAATGTTTAGCCCCCTTGGTGCTGGCTTGTCCCTTAGGAACAATGACAAGTGGAGTCACTTTAAGATGAAGCCCTACAATTACAAAATTTTTCAGGCTAAAAATTTTGCAATTGTCTAGCTTGCCTGTGTAAATAATGCATTACAAAATACATTAGTTAAGTTCCTTCAGGAGGACTGAAGAGTGTGAAGTTGAGGATCCTACCTAAAGCCTTCAATCTCCACACATTTCTGATCCAAAAAGGCACACAAATGCCACAAAATTCTCATCCAGAATAAAAGTTTACTTCGGCATCCTCAGTCAGAGGACACTCCTCACAAAAGAGAGAAAGTATGTTTACCTTCACAGATGACCACATTACTTCAAGATGTATGTAGTCTGACTCTTGTAATGTTGCCAGGTACTTCCTTGCATGCTGGGTGCTGACTATTCCAAACGGGTTCAGAGGGAAGTTATCTTAAATTAAAACTATGTTCAGTCATAAGAAATAAGTGTTGTTTATTAAAAATAAAATATCTTGAAAATAATTTCACAAGCATATATACACATACATAGGGGCACTATGGCTTTAGTATTTTTTACTTAAACCAGGCTTATCTCTATAATCTTAGAAATTAACTATTTTAAGTTATAGAATCATGTATCAGCAAAGTCACACATGAGCAGTAACATTTACATCATTACATTTGAAGTAAATTTCAAGACAAACAAAATAGCAAACATGGCATGAATAACAACAAAATTATTTTTAAAATCTATGTTCTAATTAGAGGAAATAAAAATAATCTTAGAAGGTTAAAAATTAATCTGTTATAGGTTGAACAATATTTGACAAAGGAAACAGACTGTCATATTGTTCTTAGGGTTACCTCACGGGTTGAACTTGCATTTCCCTAGAATACTACATAAATAATTATTACTCAGTGCTCCCTCCAGACATAGCCCAAACTAGTACCTTGATTACTTGAAACAAACAAGTTAATTCAATGTTGCAGAAATGCCAATTGTTCATTTATTTTGTTGTTCTTGATTTCAGTAGGATTCTTAAGAGAAAGGAATGTGGGTTTCAATCACTAAATGCTAATAAAAATATAACATTTTAGACTAGTTTAAGGAAAAAAAAAAAGATCTCTATAATGTGCTTCTATTGAAAGGTCTCATTTGTCTATGCATGATGTACCAGAGATACTAAGGGACTTCATTCTGAAGGCAATGGCAAGAGCCCAAGCAGGTCTGCGGGTACAGCCAGTGCCAAATGTTTACCTCTACTTGTGCTGTGCCACGAGAAACCTTCCTTGGATTGCCACATCCCCAAAAGAACTCATCCCAGTGTATGTGCTAAGCATGGTGGTCAGACATCTGAAAAGGAGAACACTATTTGTAATGGTTTTATAAAAACCTGAGATGAATCCTTGATGAAGATCTGGTGCAGAGAATCTCACAAACTGTCAGGCTGAGGCTGATGTTGATGGGGCAGGGGGGAAAGAATTCACTGCACTGGTTGCAAAAACTCTGACGTGAACACAGCTTCTGCATAGTCCTCACAAACATCCTGCAGCTCTGCTGCCACGTCACACAGGGCTTCTTCTGTCAGTTGCTCTGCAAGACTGAGGCAGAGGGAAGGCAAAAATAGAGAAGGAAAAGGTTCAGAAAGTCAGATTTCAAATTTCAGTCATTCATGCTATTGATATCAGTGCTCTGATTTTAAAAGGTAGATACTTTTTTCTTTCTACTGCTTAGCCCAAGAAAGGATTCGATACTTGTTCTGATATGGGTTGTATAAGATAGCAGAAATTCTATCCTCACTCTGGTTCATAGCAAAGGGCATACTTCAAGCTTAAAAGTACTGAGAGATCTCAGTTGTTTCCTTTTTTCAAACTCTTAAGATACTAATTCTGCTTTGAGAATAAGAGTGAACATACTGTGGTGCTCATCCAAAGGCCACTGAAGTAAATAGGAAGCTTTTTATTGATTTTAGCTGTCACTGAATCAGGCCTTACTGAGAGCAGAAATGTTTTGAGTGAAATGTCAATTTTCAGTAATCTCTGGACCACAGTAGATGTTTGTTACAGAACGAAAACTGTTTGTGTGTAAATATACAGTAGTTTACTGGCCTCCTGAGAAGAACTCTGCAGTTCTGCATGTGCTCCAAAACACATTGGTGTTCCTGAGCCCAACAACCTCGGGGGCTGTTCAGAGTCACAAAGCCTGCCAGGGACTGGCTGCATTTGCAGTTGTCGAGCATGGGGCACGTGGCAGCCGTGGCAACCACTGTCAGGAGGAGGGTCACCTGCCAGTCCCACAGAGGTGCCAGCCCTGGCAGGGCCAATCTCACACCAGGGACTGAAGGCAGCACAGCTCAGAAGGCAGGATGACAGCAGTGAGAACTGACGAGCTCTGTTTCAGTGGGTTGATTCAGCAGATTCAAATACAGTGGTCTAATCACAGTTATTACAACATGTGCCTACTTATCCACACTTGGGCAAATCAGCAACACACAGGATTAGCTTTATGCATGCCAGTCATCTCAAATATTGCAGGACCTGTTCCTGAAAACTCTTTATGCGGATGCCAATCAAACAAGCTGTATCACTGATTTCAATGCTACTACATTAAAAATGTATGCTGAAGTTTAAAGATTCTTGGCAATTAAGCCTGATGTCCAATCTACCAATACAGACAAATATGGGAACTCGTCCCATCTACAACCACTGAAGTTAGGTTTTCCAATTCTTTCTTAATACTCCAGATCTGGTTTTCTTCTCTCATCTCTTCTCCCATAGTCAGATGCATTCTCATTTCCACTCTGCAGGGAATTAATGTCCCCTCTATGCCAACTGATGTTGTGCCAGTATTCCTGCAGTTCTGAAAGAACAGGGCTAGCAAGGTTTCAAATTCATCCTGTATTTCCATGCTTTCTTTGGGCTGGACTTTATAAGACCAATAGGTGATTTTTTAAATGTATCATACATATTGAAAGTTATTTCTAGGCAATTGTAGGTAATTACTCAAGGAAGTGCAAGGAAATGATAACCAGTGATGTAATTTACTTGCTAAAGCTGTTACTGAGTAATCAAAACACTTACTCAAGCTTCAGTGCAAAAGTGGGTATTTTGGCTTATATTGCTCTGCTGCTTAGCAGACATTTAGCCTAAGAAACTATTTTTGCCAGGAAGTGAACAGTAAAGAGACTGTAGTTTACTGTTTCTTCACATCTTCTACTTATAGCAAGGGATGGACATTCTACTCCCATATCCTTTGGTTTTATCCAACTACCTTCAAAATCCATGAATACCTAGTACCAGTAGAGAAACAGCCTAAGAGACAACTGCCTCTGGCTTTCAGTCTGGAATTTAAATGTCGCCTCCCCACTCCTCTCCTGAGTAAGAACAGAAAAACCTGTTGTCAGCTGATACATTCACTTCAAAATCACAAAGACAGTCCATATACCTCTCAGCAATCTGCCATGGGTTGAAACTGCCCACCACCTCATGAGAAATAAGCTTTAAATGATGCTTGTATCTGCTGTTATAATCCAAGATGCTCTGGAGCATATGGCTTGGCACGGACAGAGACACAGAGCACGCTTTCTGTAGAGAGTTCAAAGCCAAGGGGTGCAGAATGTCATTTCCAGTATGCAATTTCTCCTCTGCTTCTTTGTTTTCATCAATATCACTGGAAATATAAAATAATCATCAAAACAGAACTAGATTTTCAAGTCTCTTTTTGAAAACACTATAATGAAGTCACACAGATCTCATGCACCACAGTTTAATGTAGGGCCAAATATTCCACTTACTTGCCATCAAAGGGTTTTTCAAATAAAATGTTTGTTTCTAGCTCTGTGTGTTCAATTAATTTGTTTATCTGAATTGGATGAGGAGATGTGAGTCTTTTAGCTGTTGATGCCATTTGTTGCTCTAGAAGGAAGAAAATACCATTTAAAATTGTTTCTTTGAAAGAGGAAAACTACATCTACTGCAGATAAGGTCCTCACAAAGACTTTTGCTTCTTTTAAGGGGAACTCCTTCAGGTAAGTGAAGAACTGAAAGTGAGAAGCCCCTAAAAAGTAAATTCAGTGTAGCGTTTCCAAGAGCTTAGTGTATTAAAGCTGAGCATTTTAGAAATGCTGCTTTTAGTATAAATCATTTGTGCTGTCAGTGGATACTTCTAGCAGAGAGATAGAAAATACCACTGTAAAACTAGCAGTCTATTAAACCTGGCAGTAAATTCAAGACATGGAAAAAAAGTCCATACAGATTTGGGCTAAATCTTCACCAGTCATATTGTGAGATTTTACAACTTGTGTAAACAACACAGTTCCAGTAAAGTCTGTATGTAATCAGATACTCACATTGAAAAATCAGTGTAGCTTTGCTGTGCTACTCAAATAGTAGGATAAAAAACAGGAATATTGATAAAGTATCAACTTTTAGAACTACATTTTAGAAACTGTCCTTTGAAAGAAGTACCTATAGTAAAAAATGTGTCTGGATGGTGCTATTTGATCACACATAATCCAACGACCTTGATTTCAAAACATCTGAATTTAAAGTTACAGATTATAGGAAAATCCAGTGCCATTAAAGAAGACAGTTACCCATTTTGTCTTCCTGGGCCCAGAAGTGGGAGTCAGTGTACACGATCTGGGTGATTCTCCTGCGGACACTCTCCCGGTGTCTCTGTATTGGAACACACAACAGCAGTCAGTCACCCACATACCTGATTATCACACAATAGGAAACTAGGTCATGATCCTCCTTGGGCAAATTTGGGGCTTATTTCGGCTGGTAACAGAACACAGAAAAGGGGTGGGGGAGTGAAATCACAGACATTTATCTTGTTCAAAATGCCATACTTGAATATGAAACTAGTTGCCAGTCCCATGGTAACTCCTCCCATTTTAGACCAACAGCCCTCAGCCAAACAACTGAAGAACCCTCATGCTTTCTTTTAAGAAAGCAATATATGAGAAAGCTCAAGTCGAGTAAATTATAAACTTATGAATATTTACACAGAAAAATGAATAAATAAGGGCACAGATAACCATGTATTTGTCTGACTTCCCATGTTGCCCTGTGAAATACTTTGGATTGCCAGAGCATTTTTCCTCGAGATGCTCAAGCTACTAGAATATTGAGATTCTATACCACAAAAAAAGGGAAAAAACCAAATTAATATTCAAATACTTTCCAATCTGCAAGGCAATCAACATAATCACCATGCGGATTCTCCCACTCATGTACAGTTATCTAAGCCACAAAGTCTTGAGGTGGAAAGCAAACTCAGGTCTCCCAAGTCTAGAGCAATAGATTCATCAAAATTTTGCTCCTGATCTTACACTGTGTTTTGCTGGAAGCACAGACTCCTCCCTGGTCTTTGATTTCAGACACTGATTCAGTCACTCCTTGCTTCATTTAAGAATGTACTTAGAGATATTACAATTTATGGACAGTAATCAAGAAATTGGCACTAATGAGAACAACCAAGACAGAAAATCTTACTTCAATTTCTTCCATTCTTTGCAACATTGACTCTATACTATGAGTGTCAGCCATAGGCAGGGCCCTGGTCTGGAGCCTTTCATGCTGCTCCACGCTCCACAGTTCTTGAGCAGTATCTTCCAAAAGATCATCCAACAGCTTTTCACTCAGAATATCTGCATTTGCTGCAACCTGCTACTTAAAAAATCCGAAACTCAAAAACAAATACCACAGAAAACAAAAAGACACAAAGCCAATACAAGAAAGAAAGAAAAAACCAAAACCAAACCAACTGGCATTAAGTTGAAAAGAAACTGTATGTTGCCCCTTTATAAATGTTTGACAGCTCTCAAGGCATCGTTCCCCCAGTGGCATAAGCTTGCCTGTACTACCTGCATGCTGTCTACCAGAGGTTCCGACCACTCCTGTACCTCCTTCACAGCTTTGTCTGCACAGGGGGCTGGAGAAACAGTTTGTGACCTGCACGAAAAAGAACAATGCCATTTTGAAACTTGGTATGACAACAATAATTTAAAAACCCCAAATACATAAGTTTACTTTTAGGGAGACTGCTGGAGTGTGGAGAAGCTCATATCCTATCTGACACCAGTTATGAGATCTTCAAAGTAAGTCATTACCTTAACTTTTGTATTTTTTTTATTTCTCCTCTGCGAAGGTCAGTTAGAACCTTCACTCCTCTTGAATTTTCCACTTCAAGCCTCGCTAGTCTTCAAAAATAGCACAGTAACATAAAGGGTTACAAAATGCACATTCTAATAACTGAAGAATGAAATAATATGATTTTGAGTATTAGTTTGGAAAAGTTGCAAAAAACTTCAGAGAGAAAATTAATGCTGACTGTAAGACCATATAAGCCAGAAAACTCTGTTGAGAACCGGGGATCTTGAATTAAGTTTCTGCTGTTGGCAAATAGGAAGTACTTGGCCCAGAGAAATGAGCTCCTCATCTTACCCTGCACACTGCCTAGTACAGATCCAGCACCTGGATCTCTTGCTTCAACTGCCACAAACATCAATCCCAAAGCAACCTAAATTTGGGGACCCCTGGTCTAACGGGATGTTGAATATACTTTAAAGTAAACAAACTTGCACTCTATTATTGTCTGAGACAAATATATGTATTTTGTCCTTCTGGAACAGGGAGATAATATTTATTTACCTTCTTAATGCACTGCTGTGAATACCCACTCTGCCTGCTGTGTTTTGTCACTGCCCTGCCTTGCACAGTTGGGCCTTGACTCCCAAGCAGCAACTCAGGCAAAAGCCTAAAGCCTTGGCTCTTCCTGGGCTTTAGGGAGTGAGACTGCTCTGGGCCATCTGGCAGAGAGCTGTGCTGTGCCACTGGCCACCCTGGGCTGCAGCCAGGCCAACTCTGTCCCAGTTACCAGCACAGAGCCAGCAGCATTCCCACTGGGAAGCAGGGTAAGGATGGGTGCCACAGGACTGTGAACATACCGCTTAGGTGGAACAGGCAGAGCTGGAGGCTTTGGAGGAGGGCAGGGAATTCTGCTCTCCTTAGCAGGTCGTTTGGTCTCTTTTAGCTGAAAAGCTATAGTTGGCTCTCGAAATCCAGCATGCTTTCCTCGAGGGCGTACCTGTCTTGATTTCAGAGATTTCAGCATTCCCTTAAAATTAACACCATCACATTAAAAACTTATATCCCAGTTGTTGAATTATTAAAGTATTTTGCATTTTGCTTCAGATTTTGTCTTGAAGTCATGCCTGCTGACTTTGCTGCACAGTTAACATATGTGAAGGTTTTACAACTGCTTTAAAGGGAAGTACAGCTGTGCCTGAAAAGAATATATGCTTGATCCTGTAACTGTTACTTTTGCAAACAGTTCCAACTTTTCCAGTGTTGCCCTTCATGGGGAAAAAACTTATTTTTAATTTTTCAGAATTAGACTCTATGTTAACTCTTAATAAATCCAAATAGAAGGTTTCCAAGGTAACCTTTATTCAGCCACAAAACTATAATATCACCACTTTTGTATTTGCTACAAGGTCACTTAGACTCGTCCCCTCAGTATGAAATGCTGAAATGTTTAACCTTTCTGCCCACATTTCTCACTGACACACAGGGATGGGAAGCAGTAAAAGTTACATATACATACAGTTTTGTTACTGTGTCAGATCTGAATTTTCAAGTTGAAGATGACACTGAGGAAGGAATAAAAAAACTCCACCTATTTACAAAATCTAGCACTAGTCTTGTAAGAACTTATTTGCATTACAGAAGCCTCTTGCTGGTTGCAAGAAAGACTTAGCAGAAACCAGAACTTGTATTGTGAAGTTTTATCATTTCTGTAATCAATTAAGTAAGTCTGCCTAACTTATATTCTCCTACTAACACTAGCATGACATTACTGCTGAGTGCATTTTTTGTGACAGAGGATTACCAACAGGAAGAAAATACTTCAGCTTTAATTTCAACTTGAAAAAAACATGCTAACTTCAAGCACGAAACTTGTTTCAGTAAACATTTTCCTTGCTAATTCTGTTATTCGTTGTTTCTAGTTGTACAATGTGTTTCCAAGGAACTGTAACACTGCTTTGAAAAAACAGATGCTAAAATAGTCATACCCAGTAGAAATAACAGGCAGATGACAGTTTATCCCACTGTGTCTCCTAGCTCAGAATAGAAATACTGTGAGGAAGTGCGAAGCACTGACAGTATCTTACGTTATATAAAAAATCCCAAAGCACAAGTACAAGACAGCATAAATGATTTATCAGTTCCATACCTGTGGTTTTGCAAGCAATAATATGCCTTTCTTCTCCAAAGGACCACTTCCAAGGACAGAGTCCTTTTTTACAGCTCTAGCTCTCACCAGGGCATCTGTGCTTCCCTGTAAAGTGGCATTTCTCTCTGGAGTAGGTGGGTCACTTTCTTCTTGGTATTTATTGTGAAACATATGAGCACAACTGTTCGCCTTTTGAACTGCTGAAATATTTGCAACATGTCAATGTTTATCTGTATCAAAAATAACACATAAACTTTTAACTTTGGTAAGGTGAGAGGGGCAAGAATTGTCTTTATTTCTACATTTGATATCTCTGTTATGCTAGGTATACCTAATCATGAACTTTTAAGCTCTACCATAATTTAAAAAAAGAAAAAAAAAAAAATCCAGCCTTGTATTTCCTGACAAGTATTAAAGAAATTGTCTTTCCTGCATTGCTTTGATGAACAGGAGAGTTTGGAGTTTGTGTGCATATACATATTTATATGTATATAAATATTTGAAAATACACATATACATGCAAATCATGGGAAAGCTTTTGGTAGTAATTGTCATGAAAGATCTAGGCAGTGATAAAAAAACATTCTTTTTTAGGCCGCAAGACACATGGAAACCATTAAATGCTTATATGCTGTCTCCCTGGACTGCCAAAGATGAATTCATCATATGGAATTCTTCTTGCCCTTACATGTGGGTAGCAGGGAATACTCACTATTCTAGTAAAAACCATCATCAGGTATGAGAAAGACACCATAAAGAAGAAAAAGAATTAATATAGTTTATATATAATGTAAGAAATTATAATGGCTTTCATCAGGTGTCAAAATACTTCAGGTGGTATATTTATCTCACAACACCTTGAGAAGGAATAAAACTCCTTTCCTTTCATATACAAAGTAAAACAACAATAAAGAAAGCCAACTCTGAACAGTTTCACAGCAAACGAGTAGTGGAAACCCCCAAAGTCTTTAGCTTAACCATCAGTTAATGTGTCTCTAGGTACAAAAGTTTGAGTGTTGTGCAAAAGACATTATCAGGAATCAACTGACAAGAATAAAACAGCCGCTGCTCTCAGAAGTAGAGAAATTGCACAAACCAAGGGAATTCAGAATACCTTTTCAGTGTGAACAGTTAAACAACCACAGCCTGGCTTTCGTTAGCCTGATTTGCTAACATACACTTCTGAGCAACAATACATAACATACTACAAAACTGATCTTCAGATGGCAAGTTAACTGATAAAAATGGACTTAGTAATTCAAAATACAAACCAGTCAAGAGACTCCTGGCACACGGAGGTTTTCTAGGCTCTTGTCCATACTGTCCCTTTAAGATGAGAGGCTTGTTTTCTCCTTTTGGAGACAGAAGCTGCTTTTGGGCTGGAAATGTCTTATTGTTCCTTGGAGATTTGGCCTGAGAAGCTGAAATACATTTCTTCACTGGTTTTGGTGTTTGCTTGTTTTCCAGCAGTGAATTCAGATCCTGCACCAAATATTTAGAGTTTTAATTACTCTCTCAGTAAATCTGATATAAAAATGAGAAGCAAATTCAAGAGATTCCAAGCAGTTGGAACTTTTTTGATCTGGTTTGGGTTTTTTTGTTGTTCTGTTTTGTTTTCTGACAGCAATTACTCCCAATAAGTTGTTCATGTAGAAGCCTTTTCATATTATTAACTTAAATCTTACTGAAAAGGCTTACATTTTTGTATTTACAATTGACCCAAGTAAATAATCTGCTTACAGAATGTTCAAAAAGAAATGGACACAAGGGCTACAGACCAAAAAAGCTCCCATGCTCACGACTGCAGTAATACAGACACTTCTTCCAATGCTAAGTCTAAACTTGAACAACTCTACCTCCTCTCCTGTTCCAAGGCAGTTAGCACTGTTACTGTTCTCATAAGCAGTTTCATAACAGTAAAAATAAAAACACAGCTCTTACAGTTTTAACAGTATTTTAAGGAAAATAAAATATGGCTCTGGTATCAGTTGCTTTTAGTTATTTATATAGTAGGCAACATGAATCAGAACTTTTCTATGATACCAACAACATGAATAAGCCAGCAGATATCACTAACAAAAGCCATTTGAAAGGCACAGAGCTTAAGTAACTCTTGTACCCACAACTTTATCTTCTGCCTGGACACTTCTGCATCCACCACCATGGGTGAGGCTCAGATGCTCATCACTGATGCTGATTACTAATGCATGCATCCCAAAATAATAAACACATAACACACACCAATATATAAAATGAATTCTTTCAGTCCTGAATATGGCAAATGAATCAGAAACTGGTGCTTTGTTACCACTATCACTACCAGTCCTCATTCTAGCAGCATAGCCAAGAAAGACAGGAACAGCATCAATAAGATCAGCAGCAGGTAGCTTCTGTGTTTAGGATGCACCTCTCTTTTAGACCACCATTATTTAGGAACATTAGAAGTACATTTATACATTAGAAAATATGGTCTTTGAAAAACCACAAACAAAACCAATAAGATATTCTGCCATTTCATTAACACAGTCTCATATTTCACTACATCTTTTCTGCTTTAGCAAAACCAAAATGTTTTTTCCTACCTCAACTTGCAGCAAAATATCTATGATAATGTCAGAAATGGAAGAATCTCCTTCTAGTTTGGCAGAGCAGAGAGAGAGTTGTCGAATGAGACTGCCCAGCTCCTTGTAGTGGGCAGGAATCTGCTCGTCTGTTTGATCTGTGAAGTGATTGGCAAATGCCTGCAAGGTTCGTACAGCACCTCTGTGTGCTGCTGCCAACCTGGATACTGCTTGGGACTGGGAAATGAAAAACAAATGTTTTAATAACTATAGTTTCTATGAATACTTATACTATTGGAAGAATTGTTGGCAAAATTTCATGGAGAAACACTCAGGCTTGGGATAATTCTGATGCATATTAAGCCATTTGTGAGACAAAACAAAACAGGCATTAAAGTAATCTACTAAAGATTCCTCACAACAGTACCTCTATCAATGTCATGCCGGCTTCAGGTGAAACAGCCTGGGTATAACAGCCTGTTTCTGTGTGCCAACACAGAACTGTAATCATCAGCTGGACCCTAACGAGCAACAACTGCACAAACACAAAATATTCTCCATCCTCTGCGTTTTGTTACAGAAGAAAATACAAGTGATGGAAAAGCTCAAGAGAACAACAGGACAACATCAGCCAGAGTGTAGGCATGATCTCAGGGCTCTCCTTCTGAAAGGTGCTGGGCAGAGAAGAAAAATCAGGCTGGTAAGACTGAGTGACATCACCCAGAAGTTTAAAAAATCAGTCAATAGTAGAACACATTGTTATTGCAAAAAGGAATTGGAATGAAGAAGGAATTAGAAGCCACATAAAATCAGAGCGATGGCCGCCTTCTGTACTTTACTGCAGGGAAATGAGAACTGAGAAGAGAGAAGCAGCAAAGGCAGTATCAGGCCAAGTGATCCATACTTCTGTGAGAATGAGATGAAAGGTGTAAGATACAAAGAAAATCTTTCTGAAGAGGGCTCAGATGCACCCAGATAATCAAACAATTATCTAGAAAACTCTGTCGATAAGTCATTTATAGCCTGAAGGATAATTACACCTTACCTTTTTAGTGTGTTTGATTGCATGAGGACTCAGTTTCTCTAAATCATCCTGAATTTCTTTTACCTGTTTATCAAGAAAGGAGAGGAGAACATCAGTCAGAATTCACTCCGTGCCTATAAATGAACAAATTTTGGACTTCAGCCATGAGAGAAATTAGTCACACCATTCAGATCTAAACTAAAATGCTGTGGAAGTTCAGAGATAACCTGATTGAATTTCTTTTGTTTCAATTTGTTTCTGTCAAATTCTTCACAATAAACTAGCTACTATGCATGCCAGTTTAAAATGCCAGTTCCTACCTGTTGCTGGAGCACATACAGCATCCGAGCTGACCGTGCAGCTTGTTGCTGTCTCCTAGTGCAAAGTCGCTGCTTGATCTCAGGATCTAAAAGTTCTGTATCTCTCCCTAAAAAGCATAGAATTTAATGTTTTATGTCTTAATTTAACATGTGAAAATCCCAATTAAGCCATGACAACAGACATAATTTAACAATAAACCTCTGCCATGCAGAACCAAATCACATATTTGTGGGGGTTCCTTTAGCAGTAATGTAAATTAATTACTGTAACTCTAGATTGTGTTTCTATTTAGAATTTGACTAAACAATCTTATACAATATAGCTTATTAGTAATAGCTTAAAAAATCACGTGACCAATTAGTTTTATGACGAAGTTGCAGATAAAGCACTCAAAATTAGGAATGGTTACACCTCCTGCTAGTTATTACAAAAGAACCAATTGCTTAACCTGGCAAGCTGTTCTGGCTTTTATATATTTTTTAAAAAAAGTAAATGGTTCTCAAAAATCCAGAAATAAATTTGAATTCTAATCCAAGCCAAACAACTGTGGGGGAAAAAAAATCAACAAACTACTGTACATTTATATAACATAATTATTGTTCAGTCTTACACCTTTTTTAATCATTTCTTCAATTTTTTGAATATAGCTCCTCAATTCCTTTTGCAGACATCGGACTTCCTGCATATTTTTATGTTCTTTCTTGTTTAAATTTGGTTTGAGGTCTGGTCCTGTGTCATGGGTGGGTAGAGAGTCCAAAGCAGCTGATCTTGGCCTTCCTTCCTTAGCTACGCAGAGAGAAACATTTCTGTCAGAGCTGGTAGACTCCCCTTGGGAAGGCTGGTCAAGCCTCTGCTGACCTGGCAAGCAAGTTTGAGACTTCAGCGCATTTTTATTTCCTGGAGTTGCAAATACTTTGGTATTCTGCTGTTGTGACTTCTGGGTCCACAATGGTTTACTGACCACGTTTCCAAACACTTGCTGTTTCACTTGCTCTTCAAGACGTCTTCGTTTGATGTCCCTTTTGGCCAACTGAACGGCCAGTTTCAGTTTTTCTTCAGATACCACTGAGAACATGCCAGAGCTTCTCAGGTTGGGGTCCTCACTTGCAGCTGGATTTCTCTGATCACTGCATGCCTTCAATTTTTCTATTATAATTGGGCGGGGCTGAGAGAATCTGAGAGCCAAATTCTCTGGAACTGCAGGAACATTTCTATTAAACTGGAGCTGTTCAAAGTGTAAAAAAAAATCTGATGTTACACAGAACACTTTACACAGGTGATGCAACTCAAGTCTCTAACAGTAAGGAAATTGGATCTTCTTTTATATTAGCATGTATCCCGTCATGACAGCATTGTTTTGGATTTGCGCTGAACACAGTGCTAACAGCAGACCAGTGTTTTCATTCTTGCTAAGCAGTGCTCAAGGCCTTTTCTGCTCCTCACTCTGCCCACCAGTGAGAAACCTGTGGGCAAGAAGCTGGGAGGAGACACATGTGGGATGGCTGACGCTGACTGACCCAAGGGATATTCCACACCGTGTGGCATCATTCTCAGCAGTAAAAGCTGTGGGAAAGAAGGAGGAAGGGGAAGCTGTTTGGAGTGACAGTATTTGTCTTCCCAAGTCACTGCTACATGCGATGAAGCTGTGGAGATGGCTGGATTCCCTATTTTGCTTTGCTTGTGCACAGGGCATTTGCTTTCTCTATTAATATGCCTTTATCTCAATCCACAATTTTTCATACTTATCCCCTTCCAATTCTCTTCCCCATCCCACTGGGAGTGAGTGAGCGGCTGTGTGCTCAGCTGCCTACTGGGACTGAACCACAACAGACAAGTAAGAATATTTACGGATATAGTTCTTGAATCTCTACCCTTACAAAAGAACAGTGTCAAGATTATATGTGACAGCATCAGGAAAGCGAGTATCACACTCCTTGATGGGCTGTCTCGGGAAGTGGGTCATAATCATCGTTTTGTAACAATCACAAATGGAAACCAATTCAGCATCGCTGCAGAAAACAAATGGTACCTGTGTTTGTAAAGGCTTTGCTTCATTCCTGTATCGCTGGGTGGAGAATGCAAACGCATCATCAAACAGCGGTGCTTTGCTTGGCCCCATCGCATCGGCTTGAGAGCAAATCCCGCTGCTGTCCCTTGCTTGTGATCACAGCTGTGGACCTGAGAACAACCAGCCGTGATTTCAGACTCTCGAAAGCAATCCCGAGTCTGATGTGAGTAACAGAGGGAGAACCGGCCTGAGGAGCCGCGGAGAGACGAGAGGGGCGGCCTCTCTGCTGCCTCCCGGAGCCTCACGGCGGCCCGGGCGGGACCGGCACCGGCGGACTCCGGGCGCTGCCAGGAGGGAGGAGAGAAAGGAGAACGGAGGAAGGCAGGCAGGGAGGGAGGAAGGAAAGGAGAGCGGAGGAGGGCAGGGAGGAGGAAGGAAAGCAGAGCGGAGGAGGGCGGGCAGGGAGGAGGAAGGAAAGCAGAGCGGAGGAGGGCGGGCAGGGAGGAGGAAGGAAAGCAGAGCGGAGGAGGGCGGGCAGGGAGGAGGAAGGAAAGCAGAGCGGAGGAGGGCGGGCAGAGCGGGCCGCACTGCGCCGGGACCCGCCGCGCGCCGTTCGAACCCGGTCCCGCTGCTGCCGCGGGGGCCGCCGGGAGCGCGCGCAGCTACGGCGGCCGCGCGGGCCGGGCGGAGCTGCCGCCGCCATGGGCTGGGAGGAGACGGAGGTCCGCGGGTACGACGAGTTCGTACGGACGGCGCAGCGCTACCACGGCCGGCCCATCTTCGCGCTCTTCTGCGGCGACAAGGACGCCGAGGGCAGGAGCTGGTGCCCTGACTGCGTGACGGGTGAGGCCCGCGGGGGGGAGCGCCCCCCGCCCGAGGCACGGGCTGCGTCGGCCCCGGGAGCCCTCCCGGAACAGCCCCAGTCCCGGTGACGGTGCCAAGCTCCAGCCGCAGTTCCCCCTGGCGAACCGAACGGGCTGTGCCCGGTTCGTTACCCACAGCGAGCACGGGCCGGCCCGGGCCGTTCGAAGGCTGGTGCGCGGCCCAGCAAAGCAGCAGTCCGACGGGCAGGTAATTCACCTCTGCCGTACGTGTCGAGGCGCAGCAGTGCCCTCCCCGACGGTGTCCGGCAGCAGCAGGTGAAGGCAGAAACCATCGTGCACTGAACTGCACGTGTAGAGCTGCCTTAAGGAGCCGTCCCCCCGCCGTGCTGCTGCATCGGCAGGACGCAACGAGTGGTTTTCTTACTTGTTAGAGCAGAAATTGGCCGTTACTCCAAGACCAGTCCACTCAACGTTGAACATGTAATACATTGCCGAGCTTGTGGATAGCCAAGTGAAATGAAAGACAGACCAAACGTTAATTAGCAGCATTGCTGGTCCAAGTAAATCCATGTGATTCTGTAACACAGTACAAGTATTAACTACTAATAGATTTTAAAAATTATTCTCTAGCTGAACCAGTTGTGAGGAAGGAACTTCATAACCTGCCTGATGAGTCGGTTTTCATCTACTGCCTAGTGGGAGATAGAGCCTAGTAAGTAACTTTGAATGCCAGCAACTGGGATAACTTTGCCATCGGTGGACTGGTGGTTAACTAACCCGTTGAATAAACTGACTGAACTGCCCTTTTCTGTGAGGAATCAATCCTTTTTTGAGGTCTTCACCATCCCTAATGTGAACTGCATGCTTGTTCTGAGAAATGGGTTGGGAAGGCATGAGGCAAAGGCCTTTGAATCATCCCTTTGCAGAAATTTTAACTTCAAAATGCCCCTCTACAAGCTGTGCTTAACCCCTTCTTTCTGAACAGCTGGAAGGATCCCAACAATGAATTCAGGAGGAATCTGAAACTAACAGGAGTGCCTACACTACTTAAATATGGAACAGTAAGTGATTTGATGTATGTTCTGGATCTACAGGCATTGAGATGGGGACATGGCAGAAGCTTAGGGCTGTAAATGAATTAGTTCTCCAAGAACCCTCTCTTGTTCAAGGAGAGCAGAACATGCAGGACAGCCCCCGCCATGCAGTTCTCCTGCCTCAAACAGGTCCTCAAGAGAGAACCACTCTGCTCACTCTGTAATGTTGTCTCTAATATAAACATGCAGTAAAGCAAATATGTACACTTGATTTGTAGCGCTTGAGGGGTTGAGAAAATTCTTAGCTACATACTGTTAAGCTTCCTCACTTGCAGCTCCTCAGCTTTTGAAAAATCCAAACGCTGAATTACGGGAGTGAAACAAGTTATGTGCAGTACACTCAACTCAGACTGCAGCTCGAGTTTTAACTTGTACATGTTATTTAAATTAGTAATTACTTTCTTTGAAATGCCTCTTTCAAGGTCAGAAAACCCTGAGGAATGTTTCAGTTATTCTTACCTCACTTGCTTCACCCCACTTACCCCCCTCCCCAGGACAACAGTTGCTGGGTGTGGCTAATATTAGTGTGTACAGATGGCTCTGGGCTACAACAGGTTTTTGAATTGCCCCTAAAACTTGTCAACTTCTCTTTCAGCCTCAGAAGCTGGTTGAAGAAGAATGTTTTAAAGCAGAGCTTGTGCGGATGTTGTTTACTGAAGACTAAATCCCTCATTAGCCAATCATTGATGAAGATGGTAATCTCAATTACTGCAGTGTCCTTTCAAGGAATCATTGACCTCTGTTAAAACTTTCATGGTTAATTACTTCAGACTAGTCAAGAGAAGTGTTATTAAATTCTGGGTCCAAACCTTACACTGAAGTCTTACAACAAAAAACTGTATCTTTCCTTTCATGTTCAAATAAACTTGACTTTGTAAACAGCCTCTTTTCAAAGGAGTTGAGCTCATGTTAGAGACTGAGAGCAGCCTGTGCTGACTGAACAAGTTACATTTGTCATAGTGAGTAAGAGGGAAGGGGAGAAACAGAAAAACCTCCTTGTACCTCCTAAATCTGACCACATAGCTACTGATACTGTTACGATAAATTTTCAATGCCAAAGATGTTTAATGGCTTCTCTGTTCAGTCCAAGTGTGATAAGGTGAAGGCTGACAGTGTCACTGATTGCATGTTAATGGCTGACAGTTGGAGCACCTGCTCCTACAAGGACAGGAAATGCAGCACAAATGCACCACAAATACAGCCTGAAATATGAAAATTAAAACCCTGGCAGCTGCCAAGAGCTGCGTTCTTACAATAAAAAACATATAGGAATAAATAGCAAGTGCTTCTCCAATACTCCAAGCAGCAACACACCTTTCCCCCACACATTGTTCTCACTACATGGACTGTAAAGAGGCCCCAGAGCAGCCACTGCTGCAGGGGCAGAGGCCAAGATTCAAGGAAGCTGAGTTTAATGGAACGGAGCTACAGCCCGTTTCCTTCTGTATCTGCACAGTCTATCAGCACTTAGCTCTGCTCCACTCCCTGTCTTGTACACTGACTTCTCTCTGTACAATATGTGTAAGGAAAACCCTACCAAACTCCCAGCAGCAATGACTGCCAGGGAAACAGAAATGACAAGTAATAGCTCAGCTTGGTTTCAAGGAAAAAACCCACAATTTGGATTTTGTAGAATATCATCACTTCGCCTTTGCTTGTCCCGCAGCTGTAAGTAGCAGTCACGCTAAGACACATCATTATTCTCCAGAGAAAAGGCCTCCTAGGGACAGCCTTTGGAGCTATACTTTTTGTAGATACTTAGTAAGTAACAAATCCGTTTTGTTTTCAAAATCAAGAGAAATCAGTAACAATGCTAAGTAAAGCTCTTACAAAATTGTCCATGCTACATAATAAATTGCATTAGGTGTTTATTAGTCTCTAAAGGCGCTGACGAAACAAAAACAACTCCAGTCATTTGATAAATCCAAATTAAAGGGACACACATCCAGAGCCAAACCTACACAAGGGTTCATTCCTCTCCTGTAAATAGTTCACTGACACAAAGTACACCTTATCATGACTACTCCACGTGTTTTTCATTTTACAGAGGTGTTATTTTGCTGCTGCTGCTCAGCCAGTGCCTGCTGGAGGCGCATCCTTTTCCGGGAATAGTGCTGCCAGTGGAGGATCTGTTGCTCATCAATAAATTTGGCACACTGAGCATTGACCAGTTCTTTGCGGAAATGTTCATACTGGAGCAGCTCTAACATATGCAAACACTGAGGATACCTGAATTAAAAATAAACACACATTAATACAGCTTTTTACAAGGGACACTAAATCTGGAGTCTCCAGTACTTTTGAAGGTCATTGCTTTAGTGTTGTCATGTATGTGCTTTACCCAAGTGTGAAACCCCTTCAGCCTGCACACATTCCACACACTGACTTGGTAACTGCAGCATCAGGCCAGGAAACAAGGCCAGTCCAGTTTGCAAATGCACATTCCTGCTTGCTTAGATGAGCTTCCCCAATGGCTCGGTTTGATACAGCAAATCTATAACAATTACAACACCTGTTTCCAGAGCCCGTTTAAAAGAACATGACAAAAAAACATTTTCCCAAAAACTGAAGGAATTTGCACATTTGCAAAAACACAAAGTCATCCTTTTTCTCATGTAAGCATCGACAATGCAAAATTAATCTTAAAATGCACTTGTGGGGCCTAACTGAAGTAGTACCCTAATGTTCAACAGCTTTAAACCAATGGAAAGTGCAGATAACAACTGTAAAGGAAGATTCCACACACAACTCATGAGATATGAGTTTTATAATTTTGCCCATTGCTGCTACATTCGGACTGGTGGAAAGAGGAGAATCTACGCTGCACATAACCCCAGCAGGGAGGCCAAAGGTAAGGTTACAGGCAGAAACCAAACCCTGACATGCTGCTATACGGTACATAACAGGAGGTCAATGCCAAACCATTAAAATACAGAAACCTAAGGGATTTTATCACTTACTTCAGGTATTTTGCATATTCAGGTTCTTTCCAATAAAGTAAATATTTAAGATAATTTACAAAAGCTTTGTCTTTGAAGTAGCCTCTTTGTGCAAGAACTGAAATAAAATGACAAGGAATTGTCAGTTACAGATGGGTGAAAAAAATCTGCACACTTGAAGAACACCTATTCACAGAGTAAAAACTTTATCATTACAATTGAATTTTGATAATTTATATTGGACAAATAAAAAAACACAGAGAAAAGTAAGATTTTTATGTCAACAAAATAATAAATTACTCTCACTTCTCTTACAGTTTGTATCTTTCATACAATGGAACAGTTTTTTGAAAAGGAAATTTTTGACTGTAGCATCAAAATTAGCAGGGAGTTAAGTATAGTACCTGAAACTATTCACAGTAGTAACATTCTGTTTTCAGATAAAGGAATGCTGCTAACATTTACTATTTAATAACAGACTTGAACTTATTTTTTCTCCACCAAATAGATGCTTTTTGCATTTCAACAAGTAAGACTTTGCATTTTAAAAAAAATCTACCTGTTAAACAGGCAAATTATTTACAGACTATCTTTATGCTGTGAAAGACCCACTCCCTCTTCTTTGTTTAACCCTCTCTCCCTGTTTAACATTACTAGTAATATTAAACACCATTAAACTATATTAACCTTAGGGTTCTGGTATTTAAGTACTCACAGTTGAGGTAATTTGGATTTGCCAGACATTGAACAAACTCCAACTCCAGCTGGAATCGAAGTCGATTTCCTGTATCATCTGATACAAGAGAAAAACAGTAAGAATTGGACCCACGCAATAGATTTGAAAGTAATCGCGGTCAGGGTGTCACCCGGGACAAACGCGGCCCCGGCCGGGGGCAGGAACGTGCGGGGCCTTCCGGGGCTGCGGGCTCAGAGCGGCCCCAGCGCCCGTGTGGCCTCTCCCGGGCCGCGAGCGCTCGGCCTGCGCGGCCCCGGCAGAGCCGGCGCTCCGAGGGCCCGGGAGGCTCCGACAGCGGCCCCGTCCCGGCCCCGCACCTGCATCCATGTCCAGGCCGCGCGCACGAGATGGCGGCGGGCGCGCCCCCGCCACAGGCCCGAGCGCGGCGCGGAGCACGCCGGGAGCGCGGCGGCGGTTGCCCAGCAACGGCGGTTGCCCAGCAACGGCGGTTGCCCAGCAACGGCGGTTGCCCAGCAACGGCGGTTGCCCAGCAACGGCGGTTGCCCAGCAACGGCGGTTGCCCAGCAACGGCGGTTGCCCAGCAACGGCGGTTGCCCAGCAACGGCGGTTGCCCAGCAACGGCGGTTGCCCAGCAACGGCGGTTGCCCAGCAACGGCGGTTGCCCAGCAACGGCGGTGTCGGGGCGGGTCCCGCTGCGGGGGCGGTGCCCGGGAGAACGTCCCTTCCCGTTTCCAGCTGTTCGCTGACAGCATCTCTGCTCCGCGGCCGTCCCCGGGGACTGAAACAGCACCCCACGGACGAGTGCTCCTTAAGTGTTGGGTTTCCGCACACACGAGTGCCCGTAGTTCCCCGCACGCTGCTCGGAGCGAGCACTTCCCTCGTACCGATATCGCACAGAAACCTGCAGGCACTCAGGAACTGGGAGCTGAGCACAACAAACAGCATCCCGATCCTTCCACGGATGAGGGAGCAGCTCCTCCCGGGTTACAGCAGCTGATCATCGCGTATCTGTTCAGAGATCCCACTTGGTCCAAATAAACCCCACACTGAATATGCCACTGTACAAATTCCTCCCTTCTCATGGTGCTCTGCTGCAGCTCATGGCAAACCCCAAAGAACTCAGAAATCACAGTACAAACCAGTGTACTGGTAACAAACCGATTTTAAACGACCAACGTTCGGTTTTACATCATTGGCTTTGCCCCGAGGACGCCGCTCCCCGCCGTGCAGGGGGAAAACCAGTCCCACATGTGCTGCTGGCCCAGCGGGACCCAGGGCAGGCGGAGTAACGTTCTGGGATGCAGTTCCTACGCCTGTTCCCGAACAGGAACAAGGGCCGCATTTTGTCCGTGTGCCACAGAGGCTGGTCAGTCCCAGAGCCATCAGAAGGTGGCTCTGGGGTCAATGTTCTAGGCCTGGTTTTTCCCCAGATAAACCTTAAGCTGGGAAGGATAAAAAGAGGAGGAACTCGTGTTTGTATTTGCAGAACATTCATCTCAGCTTTGTACTAGACCAGTCACTGTTGATCACTTCCAGAGCAAGGGTAGTGGAAAGACTCAACCCTAAAATACTAAGCTGCTTTGATTTATTATTTTCTTTCTGCATATTGGGCAAAGTTTTGAGCTTTGGGCTTTGTTTTCTTTTTCATAGTGACTTTACAGTCAGGCAAGGAGATTGTGTCAACCTCTGCACTTAATTCTTCATTAATTAAAACACAACTGTCTCAGACTAAAATCATTAATAAGCAAATGCTCCATTAGTGGGGAGCCATCTCTACAGATGTACCTGTCTCATTTCTTCCCCTTTTACTTTTAAATTATTTTCTATTTTCATTTCCTGAACTATTTTCAGCTTCAGAGTTAGCAATTTTCTATAATACTATCTTTTCTTATGCAGTATGATTTTTTTCCCCTGGGAATTGGATTACAAAAACCATCTAAAAAGGATCTATGCATAGTTTTTTGTAATAAAATATGGTTGCTTTTTTAGACATTTTAGTGGTTGTGGAATACTACTATTACTATATCAAAACATAACAAGTCACTCCCCAGTAAATACAGACTTCAGGCTAAAAGCAGAGATCAAATAGATCCCACGTGTCTGCATTGCTATTCTGGAATGTGATTTCTCTCCCAAGACCAACTTCAGAGGAGAGAATCCTAAAAAAGGATTGGTCACATGAATAAACTACTATGTAGGTTTGCCAGAGTTAAGTCAAACATCTCAATTCTTATCCATCAAAACTAAGAACAAAATTGGAAGGATCGTAATATACTAACTAGAATTTTCTCAAGGAAAAGTTTTAAATTTTTTCTATTTTTTTCCTGTCAGGTGAGTCAAACTTTCAGGATATAAGTGTTAACATATCACTGTGAGCCAGGAAGTTTTCATATTATTGTGTAACCAGGATGATATCGCTGCCTCAGTTTCTCCTTTCATAGGGACCAAACTGTCATTGCTGCTGTTGCCTGCCCAGAAAGGGGATGGTTTATATATATTAAGTATAACTTAACTCATTAGAACTGGCATAGAGACACAGCCCTTAAATGGAGCCACTTCTGGGACTTGAAGGCACCAAGGCTCCATGAGACACAGGAGACAATAGTGTTGTCTAACGTGTTGTTAGATCTTGAAAGTGGACACAGAGGAAGTGAGATGCTGCATAAGGTTTATCTGTGACCCCACAGTGCAGTGCATTTGCACCAGAGAGAAAAGAAAGTCCAGCAATTTCATCACTGAAAACTGATCAAGTGGGATGAAACAGTGAAGTGCTGTACACTCAGCGTGTGAAACCCAAGACATCCCCTTTTGTTCACGCATATACCCACTGCTTTGGAATAGAGTACAAACTGGTATTGACACGGACAACATGTGACAGGATTTTACCCACAGAACGCAAGATAGACTCCTGCAGACTGGAGAGTCTACTGCTTCAAATATGGTTAAGAAACAGAAAACAGAGTATGTATTATGTTATATTTATAACAAGCCAGTACAAAGTCTGCAATTTTTTTACTCCAATGCTATAATTGTAAGTCAATAGAAACAAGATCATAGTTTTCAGTGACTAAAGCAATTGTCAGAACATACTTAACTAAAGGCTTAACTCTTCACTGAGTTCTGGTTTTTGAGGTCAAGGAACCGCCAGGTAACGTGCATTTCAAAAGCCAGCCAGTGACAGTCATGGTAGAACCATCTTAATTTACAAATGCCAAACACCATCCAAGGGAGCTGCAAATTGGGTGAAATAGTGTAAAGAGACTGCCTTATTGCAGACACCAGCAGAGGTACTTCTGTGACTATGGTATTCCTCTAGCTTCAGACAGCATTAGAATTCAAAGATATATTCAAGATTAAATGTTGAGTGTCAGAAGGCATTTTATGTTTTCATTAATAAGTTGGTTAAAAATACATCAGGCTTCTATAGGATACTTGGACAGCAGGTGAATTTGAAGTCAGCCATTTGCCAGGAGCAATATGCATTGACCCCAGAACTCTGGTCTGTAAGGAACACCTTCCCAAAGGTATTGTTGCTGTTGGGAGCCCTTCCGTAGGTACTCTAAGGAAAGAATTATGCAGGGAGCCAGGATACATATGGGGCCTGATCTGAAGGAACTCTTAACCCATTGAATGCCAAGCAGACCAGAAGCAACTAATTCCCAGTAATGAAGGAATGTAAAACTTCCCAAGTCCAAAATACATGGACAAGCTTGCAGAACAATAAAGTGTTATCTATTATATAATGGTTACAGATATGAATAATGTCACTTATTCTCATTATATTTTGGATTAGCATTACTGTTATGCAATTTTTCAAATAATACTTCAATAATGACGTAGTTTGAGCCACTTTCTACCCTGTTTCATTTTTAAGCTCTTCTATGGTGGCACTGAGCAGAAGGGTGTAGGGAAAACACCAGAAAGAATTACGTATAAAACTAAGGGAATCATTGGCATGAATTTGGAATTAATGAAAAATGCATCCCCTTTATTTTATAATACATTTAGACTGTGTTCAGCAAGTAGGAAATAAATAGTTAATTTGGTGCTGAAAGTAATAGGTACACTCACATGGACCAGCACTACAGTCACTTTTATAAAGAAGAGAGCTGAAAGCGTGTGGTCTCCAATAATGGAAATATGATTAGTGAGATTCCTTCCTGTTGGCAAGTAAAACTAAATATTCTGTACAGTCACCCACAACCTCACCCACTAAGGATGAAAATAACTTTAATTCTTGGTCATTGCAAAGGTGGTGCACAAATAGTTACAGTTTCACAGATGCCTACATCAATATTTAGCAAGAATATAAACCCTCTCTTTAGCTGCACACTAGTCAACCGGCCAGTGCTTAGAGCAAGATTATACAGAATTTGGGCAAATTCCTTTTGAAGTAAACCTAAATATACCTCTTGTGGCAAGGCTAGAACCTTTAAATGCCAGGCCCTCAGTAGAGTGTGCTGGAATTATGTCTAACACAAATTTATGTAACATAAAGTAACTTGGAGCTTATGAGTAAGTACACAAAAGTATAAAGCACACCTTTAAAATTTTAATTAAAGTATTTTGAGATTAATCATCACAAAACCAGTTTCTCTGGGGTGGTTTCTTCCAGCTCTCTTGTTGCCTTGTCCATATATTACAATTGGTAATATACCTGTTTGTTAGCAGTTTTTCTTGCTCAGTGAGAATACCTTTTGGTTTTTAAATCTACTCCTTTTCCTAGGCCACTTTGCCAGGAACAATATTCAAGGATACCAGTTTCTTTTGCTGGGAATGCCAACATCATCCCCATTCCTTGCACAGAAAGGCTTGTTTTAGTATTTTGGAAGAGAGAGGAAGATAAAAATAGTCTCTGCCAAGCTTCGTCCTAAATCACAGCATACTCATGGCAGCTGCTCTGCAAATTACCTGCAGGGTGCCATAGCTGTTCAGCAACAATTTTTCTTGTTGCCATTCACCTAGAGTTGTCTTAATAAGTGCCACCAATAGTCACACTGAATTTTTAATAGCTCCTCTACTCCTTTAATAGTAGAGGGAAGCTGTTATTCATAGGTTGTTCTTTCCAGTCAGGGAAGAGGCATCTCATAGTCTTTCTTGATGCTTCTGAATGCTCCTACGTGCATCTTACCCATTCTTTGAACAGCAGTATTCCTGAAATCTATTCCCAGTTCTGGAAGAATAGTCAAAACAGGCTTTAATCCTAAAATTTCTTGCTGCAATCTGCAAAGGGCAGGAATTGCAGGAGCAAGCACTAGCCCAGCAGTCCCGGTTCCACACACATCTTCGGTTAATCTCTGAGTAAGGAGGTTTCCAGAGTCCACCATTATAGGCTCTTTCTGACCAAGCTTTACTGCAACAGCCCCAGCACTTTCTTTACAGGAGGTTTTGGTACTGTGGCAGTTTTCTGTTCACCAAGAAGACCCAGCTGCACAGGCTTGTAAAGCGTATTA